ATATTAATTTATTAATAATATTAAAATATTAATAATATATAAATTTTATTTATTTATTAATAATAAATATATATCATTTGATATATTAACAAAAAATTATAATATATATTAACTTAAATAAACAAATAATTGTATAATTTTAAAATATTATATTTTTTCTTTCTTTCTAAAATTACTAAATTTTAAATAAAAAAGATTAAAATCGCATAATCATGATAGTTGAGGGACTAAAACTGTTCAATTAAAAATTAAGGGACTAAAATCACACAATTATAATTTTTCAAGGATTAAAATTACTCGATTAAAATCTTAAAGATCAAAATTGCACAGATCAAAATTGCACAATTGTAATACTTGAGAGATAAAAGCCAAAATTAAGCCAAAGGATTATTATGTGGATTGAAAGAACGTTCGGGAAACTGGCATTAACAACCAGCTAAATCTCAATTGTATTCTTTACTTAATTATGAAGATAAAGTATTGATGTATGGGGAAAATATGTGGTGCGGGGTATTTGCCCCTATAAATCTATTGCATATTAGATGCTGAGTTGTTAGACATGCCTAAAAAAATGTCTATACCAGTCTTAGTCTTGTGACATGAGCATAGCTGCTCTTGTAATACGCATTTAATCTAAATAATGTACCATACCCGTGCACTTGGGTTCAGATTAGATCCTACTTTAAATGTGTTATCAATCTACAAAACAATTTACTTGTTTTAAAAGATACGTCGTTGCTCATGCTTAACTTAGCATGTCAAATAAGAATTTTTTAATGTCAGTACTTTGAGTGTCGAGGATATCATTGTTAATATTATTATTTTTGCAGTATGGCTAATAGACTATAGCTAATCATGCACGTCTGGTGTTGATCATTCAGTTGGTGGCAAGGACTGACACAATTGTTAAATAGGTTAATGTGCCCATTCAATTTCAACACTTGTCTGGAATAAGAATTTGTGTTGTGGAACAGTTGTGTTTCTGAAAATCTTTTGCATTCTTAAGTACCTTGTATTATGTTTCTTCATACTTCTGCTCATTCTTTTTCAGGTCCAACTTGCAAACCAAAACCAACTTGGTGATCATTATACCTCCAAACATCCGAAGGAGAATCCCCCTTCAGATTCAAGCTAGTTGTACTTTTTTAGCAAATGGTGCGAAAGGTCAAAAAACAAAAAAAAAATTGCTCTCTAGGTGTGTCTTCATGCTTTTAATGTAATTCCCTGCTAACAAGGCAGGTTGCAATCTGTTTTACTTTAATTGTGTTAATGTGAGATCGTAAAGGATCATAAAGTGTGCGTCTAACGTTATAAGAATATTATCATGTTGTACTAATTTGGGTTGGAAGTGTATGATGCCAACTTGCCAAGCCAGAACGGAATGGATTGCACTTTTTAAACTTCATGTTCCATTTTGTAAATTGAACATATCCGATATAAAACGCATAATATTTTTTTGGGTTTAACAGGGGCAAATTTGGATGCACTATCAAAATCTACATCCAAATCAAAATCACATCAATTGATAGAGAAATTATTTAGATGTGAAAAATGTTGATACATATTTTTTGTTTGGTTCTAAACACACATTGAGAAGGATAAAACCATAGTTATTAATCATAGATTGTACTAGTTCGACCAAAAACTGGTATACATACCAAAACGATAGGCTCATCGGATCGGCTACGCAGTCAAACCAGATCAAACCAGCTGGTTTTTGTGAAAAAAACAGCGACCCAGTAAAACATTCAATTTGCAAATATGATTTTTAAATAATAAAAAATTAAAAATAAGTGAATTGTTACTAGAGGATCTCAACCTTGACACCAAACTTTAAGATAAAACAATTATGCATATTATATCTTACAAATATATTATACATGTACAATTTTATTACAAATAATAAAAAAAATTAAAAACAAGCACTCTGTTATTAAAGGAACTCACCTTTTTTTTTTCCTCTCGTTAAAATAGAACACAATTATCATTGGACTAAACAATCATGACATGATGACATGTTATGTCTTCCAAATATATTATATATGTACGATTTTAGTTATATTTTTACCTTAAATTATGTTAACTATATTATTTTTTAATACAAATCAATTTTATTAATTTAATAAGTGACCTTCCAGTTCAACCATTAAACTATCAAATTGCTGCATTTCGATTTTATAACACCGGATAAATTGCATAATTTGTTAAAGCAGAAAAAAAAAAGGTTATAAATCTCAGCAAAGGTGAACTATATTAACAGAAGATAATGACCTTTTATTTTTTACAATTGCTCGGTTAACTCACCAAGAGTATCCCCATGTTATTGCAAACATGCATCGAAATGGATTGAAAAAATATATATAAAACATAGGAGATTCTCTAGTGGTATTTGGCAATGTTTCTATACAGAATAAATTGAATGAAGAACAAGTTCGTAGGAGTAGCTCTAAGTTCACAGTATGGTCATCGCAACCTCACGTGGTCTCGTTAAAAATTTGGCACTGAAAACACCCTTAGGTAGGTAGAGTATTATCCATGTGAAAAATGTCTTTCCCTGACCCAAAACCGAAAATCAATGACAAGAAAACTCAATCGTAGTCAAATGATGCTTCTCTAAAAAAATCGAGTCCAGCAAGTTCCAGTCCACCTGTAAGCAAGTTTTGCACTGACTGAAGAAATAGAAATTTGGTTAGATACATTTCCTTTGTTGGTGAGGTGAGTGTGACCGCAGAAATGAGGGATTAAGGCTCCTCTTTTTTCCCCTCTAAGATCTTTTTAGCAATTATATTTTATGACGGGCTAATGAGCAAAATAGTAACAGGGAAATATTCCTTACCCACCGTTAAACCCACCTAACTGTAGATGATACATTTCCTACCATTAGCCTACCGAATAATACGTATTAATAAAATTCAACAGAATGATTTTAAGTTCATTCTCTTTCTCTCTCAATATTGTTAAAATTTCATCTCAATGGCATCGAAATCATTCAATAAAAAAAAAAAATTATTAAACAAACTTGTCATCCCTATAACAATATATATGTACAGATATAAGAAAATTATACAGACAGCTTGAAACCCATACCTGTTTTTAGTTACATGTCACAGAACTTAATGCCAAACAGAAGTATCCCTAAATAGTTCATATATAAAACTCTTTCTGTATCAATCTTCAAAAGAAAAATGTTCATATACCCCTATAAATACCCCTTTCATCAATCAAATTCTCCTTTCCCATATTCTTGTAATCAAAATCTACTATGAAATTTGGTTCATTTTGGGCTAAACATAGAATCATATAATAAATGGAAACAACAAAGTAATCAGCTACAAGGAATCCAAGCCATTTGCTTCGGTTAGTTAGATTCATTAATGAGTTTGTTCAAAAGGGTCGTCAACAAAGCATCCCTTCTCTCTGCCCTACTCTCTTCTCTCATTCTCCTCTGTTCTTCTCTCTCCCTCCATGCCTGTTCAATCATTAATCTCTCCCTCTCAAGCTTCTCCATTGACTGCCTCCATTCCTGTTCAAACAATTGCCTTTCCTGAGCACGCCTTTCCATCATCTCCCTCCACTGCATCTCCATCCTTAACTGGTGCTGGAAAAATTCCTTCAGCATTTCCTGAATACTACTAGTACTATTACTGACAACATTTGATGGATTGTTTGCCCTTGAAGATTTTTCCATTCCAACTTTGTCAACTTTCCTTTTGCGGGTATTGCTTCTGGAAGGTTTTTCCTCTTCACTGTCATATTCAACCTCATCATCATCTTCCGAGAGTTCCTCCGAGGATCGGTCTACACTTGATCTTTTCACCCCTTTTTTGGTTTGAGCTGAACGAGTTTCAGATTCAAGAAGTAATCGCTGCATGTTATGTGCCCTTTGGGTAAAGACTGCATGCAATTCTTCAAAAAAAGGGCATTGCCTTCCATGCTCTGGGTCAGATGTCTCTTTTCCCTGCATAAATATTATACCACAAAACTTGCTGAGTAAAGTGAACACTTTCATCTTAAATATATGGCGAGTTTGGGGATCCACGTCGGAGAGTTTTAAAAGCATTGGGCATTTTTCACACGACCATAGTTAGAGGGTGTTTCTTGAATTTTGGCCTAAACTCTAGCAAGCACACCATAAAGTCTATAACAAAATTACTTGACATTATATAAATGACATGATCAAGAGTCTGTTTGGATAAAAGTTAGAAGCATTTATGAAAACTTAACTATTAAAAATAGAGAATATTTTTTCAATAAAGAAACTCTTAAAAAAGCTTATAAGTTTATATCCAAACAAATACTTACTACCGTACCAAAAGCTTAAACTGTTAGCAAAGGCACAACTCTTGACACAAAATACCCTGCATCAAACGCAAGTCCTTTCCTATATACGTTATTGGGTATGAGCCACGGGGCTGAATATGACCCACAGCCCCAACATACACCCTCGCGAGTTGGACCCTCTGAGCATATGAATAAGGCTTCATGTACACAAACTTGATCATACTCAACTATTCTTGTCCATACACAAACATCATAGAGTTATTATAAACATACATCTATTAGTATTTTCTCTTCCATCTTATTTATTTCCCATGTCTTCATCTTTTTCCATCACATTAGTTGTCACATTTATCACTCTCTATTCCTTCCGCCTACACACACCTCAACACAGGGTGTAAATAGATAATTTTCCAACATCATTATATCATATTGCATCATGTCAGAACCAGTCCAAATGAATGTCAAATCCAAAGGAGAATACCTCATTATTTATAGCGATAAGAAATAGAGAGAGAGAGTGAGACCTTATAGCGATTAACGAGGTTCTTCCACTTGCATTTGCACTGTTCGGGGCTTCTCCTGAACCCTCTCTCTCTCATCTTCGAACTCACCACTTCCCAAAGCGTCTTGTTCCGCTTCGACGCCGTGAAGTCCTTCTCCAGCTCCGCGCGTATCGCTATGAACTCCCTCGTCTCCTGCTGGCTCCACTGCGGCTGACCGGGCCCCCTCTCCTCCCTCGCCGCCGCCGGCGACATCTCGCCGGACATCACCGACGGCGTCGCCGGGGTCAGCAGCG